GGGAAAGCCGGCTTTGGTAACCCAATCCCTTCACCCACCTTCGGAACCCGAAGGGTGAGAGCGTCCTCCCACCGCGCCTAGGCTCACTTTAAACAGGGACACCCCACTCCTCAGCCCCTCCTCTCAGTTCCGGGAGCAACGCTAACACCGGCTCAGAGCCGCTTCGCTGCAGTTCCAGGGCCCAGAGCGCCCCCCAGCCCGCGTCTCATGCCTTCCCCTTCTCTCTGCACTGTGTTTGGGTGCCAACGAGTACCGCAGCGAAAGTCTCTGAACAAAGCTCTCTCGAAGGAAAAACTGGTCCATAGACTGGCCCGCCGTTTATAAGCAATTAAAGCGCTTTTAAAGAGGAAGGCTTGATGCGCAGCAAATACCGCTTCAGACTGCAAGGGAAGAGAGTGCTTGCGGGAAGAAAAGAAGGTCCCATTGGTGGTGGGCACCCCAGCAATTTCTTACGGCTAAACTCTAGGTAGCAGCCAGTTTAGGCCAAAGTCCTTTCCTCCCCAGCGGACTCTTGCCCGGTTTCCCGCTGCCACCCGGCCAACTCCAGCCGCTGGGACGCCTTGGAGCGGGAGGGGCCTTTAAATCTTGTCTTTGGTTGCGGCACTGTTTGGCTAGCCACAGCTGGCGCGCTGGTGCCCGGCGCCAACAGGTAGGGCTTTGGACCCTGGACTCTTATCAGAACCCCGGCTGTAGGCGACCGGACCAGTGTCCCACGCGGGTGGACAACTATCTGCCCTCAGAACCCAAGGACTAGGAGCCGCGTCAGAGCCACCAGCACCTGGTTCATCCCTCTCCGTTTCCCCTAGACCCACAAGCAAACACCAAACGAAGAGAGAAAGTGAGAGAGGTTCTAGGAAGTGGGAGCTTCTCAAGGACTTTTTTTGGGGGGGTGGGGGGATTAAATTATTTGAGGGCAAACTAAAACCTCAGATTAGTTTATTGAATGGAAGAAGGAAGGCAGTCTTCTATGCCTTGCGCCTTGTGAGACAGGGTCCATCTGCGGAGGAGACCCCAGAGCGCGAGGGGAGCCGCGAGTTGTGAGGGATCCTGGAACGGACAGGCTCCCGTGCATTTTCCCCGGAGCTGTCTCCTCTTAGCAGGTTCTCCGGTCTCAGTCCGGGTCACGTCCCGCTCTCAGTTAAGGCGATTTGCTGGGAATAATCCGAGCCCCTTTCCATCCCTCAGAATTGGCAGGTAACGATTCAATCACTCCTTTCCTCCCTCTCCCCTTTCCTACCCTTTTTCCAGGACAGGGCAAAAGGAAGTAAATGGCAGCGGGATGGTGATCGGAAGGCCAATACCTTTTTCTTGGGCCCGGGCTCCCTGCGGTCTGACAGGTACTTGCCCAGCTTGAAGGTGCCGGGCACGGGCCCGAGGCGCAGGCCGGCTGGGATGCAGCAGTCGGCGCTCACGCTGGTGGCTGCAGCGCGGGCGGTCCCGTGCATTGCTGCCGCCGCCGCCAGGCAGGCGCTTGGGTGCGCCAGGTCCTCAGCAGGGCGCGAGTGACAGAGCCTGAGTCGCGCGAGCGGGGGAGCCGCGCCCCGACGTGCGTCCTCCGCCCGCGGAGTGACGCGGGAGGGCATGCACTGCGCCTTTTCAATCCGGGCGGGCGCTTTTGGCACGGCAACAGCAAGGGCGCGGAGTTTGGTGAGAGAGTTGCGCTCCGGAGCAGCTGCAGAGTCCCACCCGAGAGGGTCACATGGAATGGTTCCCTCAGCCCCCTGCATAATCGAGGCCTCTGAATGGCTGGCGCACAATGGTTCAGGCGACCTTCCCATTCCTAAAAATCCAATTTGTCAAGGGCGAAGAAAAGGCACTGGTGAATCAAAGGTCCGGCGGGACCATTAATCCTCAGCATGGGGTATTGTCCCCGAGACAGTTACGATATTTTAAGTGACAAATCCACTGTATAATTTCTCCATAAATTTTACTTCCTTTTATTGTTCCCCGACAAACCAGTTTTGGGAAATAAGTGACTACTTTAAGTCTACTTGGCTGATTCTTTTGAGCCTTGATCTACTTCAAAGATTTTTAATTCTCTCCCCTTGGCTTTATTGTAAAAGAGATTAAACAAAGAGATGAGGACTATTTGGAGGACTTGTTAACTTCTATTGATTTCTGGCGTGTGCCATACAGAAATTAGGCAGGTACTTGATGGGAAAACACCAGAAAATACCTACACATTTTAAATAACGACCATATTACCATTTCAGGGTATTGGGTTCAGGCCAGTCGTCTATTTAGAACCGCTTTATCGTTCCCTATGTCGCGTTTCGCCCCGAAATATGAAGCGTCCGGGTCAGTTTGGGGAGGTGAGGTCAGTTGTGCTTCAATGCGCTCGGGCGCATCCCTGTCCTGCACTTTGGCGGGAGAGTGGGAAACGGCCGCAGGGCCACAGCATTGCAAGGGATTCCGCGCACCGGCCGAAAAACAGTACTTCTGACTGGGTTATTAATCGCGTTGTCCGCATATACCTAACTGCTAGCCTTGATTTGCTTTAAAACGGGAAGAAAGCCCTCGAAATTAATTGCTCCAACAAAGCGGACTTTTCTCTTTTTCTTTTTGAAAAAATAAAAACAACTTTAATAATGGTAATAATAAAAGACTCTCTGTCAAAGGTCGCCTTGTAGAAGGTAGCAGAAGGTGGCCTTTTATAGGCAATTCCGGACTTAAGGCTATGCCGTTCATGAACTAAGGGAGTGGGTACTTTGGGGTTTAATCATTCAAAAAAAAACAAAAAACTTTTTTGTTATTTAAGCGAAAGTTTACAGAGTAAATGAATTTTTCATTCAACAATTAATGAACATTTTGTCTCATGTCATTGAGTGCAATCCCTGAACTGTAGCAGCACTCATCTCATTTCCTCCCTGTGTTTACTGTTTCCCTGGCCCTTCTTTGCTGCCCCTTCCTGCCTTTGGCACTTTGTCTCAGGGCAAATGCTGCCCTTTTGATCACGGTAGGGTTGATTGTTCTAAGGAGCACACACCTCTCTGGTGTTGTGGCCTAGTGCCTAAGGCATTTGACTGCTAATCACAAGGCCGGTGGTTCAAACCCACCAGATACTCCTCAGAAGGAAGATTGGGCAATCTACTTCTATAGACATACAGCCTGGGAAACCCAAAGAGGGGTTGGAGGGGTCACTATGAGTCGGGAAACAACTCGACAGCATTGAGTTTTTTGTTTTTTTAATATAGGCATGTGTGTTGTTTGGCTAAAAGTTGAGCTATGGGATGCCCCTATTTTCTTTTAAGAAGTCTCTTATTTTCATAAGATAAAAGCTGAGTAATAGAGTACATTGAATATTTGTGACACCTGCTCTGCTCTGTTCAACCTGATGCAGCTCCCCAACTCCTAGGTAGCCAGGACTCCAGCCCAATGCTGTTTTTTTTGGACAGGCATGAGTGGCTCTGGGTTTTGAATTCTTGGAGGACCTAGTGGTGGACACCCAACCACTCTACAGAAAGACAGAGGATGCAGACATTGCTGGCCTCTCACCATGGCTATACCTGTAGAAGGTGCAGTTTTCAGGTACGAGTGACCCTGGTTAATAAGGGCAGCAGGAATCAAAATGATGATACCTGTATTTCAGCACATTTGTTGGATGTGAACCCACAGAGAAGCTCCCTGAGTCTCCTTTCTCTAGGTCAAGACATGTGTCTGTCATATGAGATGGAGATTTTGTTGTTTCGTCTCTGCTCTGCCACTCAAGCCCCCAGGAACCTTAAATGAATTATTTCTGAGCCTCACTCTCCTATTCTGTAAAATGGGAATGGTAGTGCAATCTTTGGCTTCCTCCCATTTGCTCATCCTACCTCACCCTGGTTTGTTGCAGGTGGTGTTTCATTCTATTGCATATGGTTGCTATGAATTAGGCGGCTGGACGCCACCTACCAACAACAGCAACAATTTGTTGCAAGAGTCTGTAGTAATAACCTGTAGGGTGAATGCAATTTTGGAGGTTCCAGACTAATGTCATGGGGTTATTCAAACCAAGTCAAGAGTTTCAAATAAGTATCTAAGTGCCCAAGTCAGAGCATGAGAGGTGCACGCATGTCAGTTTCAAGACCTCTGTAGACCCAGGGGTGCCATCCATAGTGTCTGGGCAGCCACATGGCTGTGGCCCCTCAAGTACTACAGCCATATCAGGGCACATTTTGTGAGGGAACTGCCACTGACTTTTCCTGACTTTTCTTCTTAACCGTCCAGTTGCCCCTCTGTGGAGGTGAAGGCTGCCCAAGAACGAGTGGAGGGCGCCTTTGATCGGGCCCATGAATGGCAAAAGCCCAGGGAGGGGAGGGGAGGAAGCCGCTGGAAAAGTCGAGGGCAATAAATTTAAGCCATGAACATGTCCCTCTAACCTCTGGCCTGGCGACTCTGGGATGACACCCAGTTTAAATTACCAGCTCTGCGAGTGGGAAGAGGCGAGCGCGGGGCCTGGGTTCGCGGCGCCTCCCCGGCCCTCCTTAATGAGTGAAAAAGCGTGAACGACACGCGAACAATTTTATCAATAGAACCATGTAAAGGCCGACTGTGAAGAAAGTTATTTATTAATATAGCCAATTGTGACTGGTTCCCAGCCCCGCGAGAAGAAAGGGCCTGAGCCAGAGGCATTCACACCAGCTCGCCGAGTTTTATTCTGTCCTGTGGCTCAGAGTTGAAGTTCCCCAAGTGAAATAAATTGTCCACAAAGGAGGAAAGGAACACATTTTCTTTTATTTTTCCTCCCCTAAAAAGCAAGGGTGAAACCAATCTAATGTGCCCAGTGGAGCAAGATGGGCCGTGAAAGGCTGGGTGTTAAAAGTAAAAGCGGGCTGTGCAGCAAATGGGATGGAAAATTAAATGAAATTAAATAGCTTGAACGGCCGTATTGTCCCTTATTAAAAAGACACATTAATTACATGGTCTCAGCCTTATTCAAAGACAATGTTGAGGCTCAATCAAAACATTCCACTCGGCTTTTTTTATGGTCTTAAAATGGGCGTGCAGAGGCCCTGTTAAAGCGAAATCCCTCCTGGCCCGAGTTGCCCGGCGAGGCGGTTTGTGGGGCGGCCCAGCTCCTGGCCACCGCGGGACCACTCGAGTCCAGCTTCCGCCCGTGTAACAGGTTGCCCTTGGCGAGGCGTGGACCTCGGAGAGCAGTGGCGGCCGGGAGAGCTGCTGCAGGAGCCACGTCCCAGCCAGGCGCTGCTGGCGAGCTCCGCGGCGTTTGGAGGGCGCCCCGCCTCAGCGCGTCCAAGAGCAGGATTCGAAACGCTGCGGGCGCGGAGCACATCTGACCTAACTGGGCTCGGCTTTGAGGAAAGCGCCCCGGAGGACTTAGAGCTGAGATTGGGGGCCTCGGTGGGGGGAGGTTCTTTCAGGGCTTGCTTCCCTGCGGCTGCCTGTCTCTGGGGGGCAAAGGCCTTGGGGGGATGGCGGATTGGCTGCCTCCTGGGTCCCTCAGCCTTGGGGACCCAGGTGTTGTGAGGTCCCTAATTACCTCTCAGCCTGGAGGGCAGAGCCCCGAACCCCAGGATGACAGCAGCGGCTGCAGGAGAGACCGCCTGGGAGGCGGCGGCCTGGACACCCCGCGTTTCAGTAACCGCGTTTGGATTGAGACAGGAGCTCTGGACGAAGTAGCCAGGCGTCGCCCCCGATGGTGTCCGCGCAGGCCCGGCCGTCGGGTCAAAGCGGACCAGCTGCGCGGCCCCCGAGGCGCGGGTGGGACATTAAGGCCGGGTCTGAAAAGGGCGGCGGGGACGGGCTCTGGGAAAGCCACCAGATGACACGCCGACGCCGGGCCATTTTCTCCTTAATTGCGAGGCCAGTGGGTGCGCGGCGGCCGGGAGGCTCCAAACCTGGGCCAGGACGCAGCCCCGACGCCGCTGGTGGGTTTTTGTGGTGCCTTTTTTGTTGTGTTTTAAGTCTTCCTTTGGAAGCGGCTCAATAAAAGTATTCAGAGTCTCTCAAGTTGCCTTTTAACCGGAGTTCCCCAACTTATTTCTTGGTTCTTTCGGTTGACATGGTGCAAAGAAAAGTCAGCGAGTGTGTTGCTGAATTGCAATGTCTCGGGGCACCTCCACATTCAGCGCTTCTCTGCGGCCGCTGCCGAATGAGCCCGCACTCAATTCGATTTTCCTTGCTGTTGGGCACATTTAGGAGCGCCTCTATTTGTGAAGTTCATTTCTAGGCAAATGTATTCAAGAGCTGATGGGAATGAATAGGACCGTGTGTCAGCCGCCCCTAATTGGGATTAAAGCACTTAGGAGCATATGCAGAGAGTGACAGAAATTCTCAGGTTGCATTGTGTTCAGACTTCCACCCGCTCGGACACTCCTCCTCCAAGGGAGATTTATAAAGATTGCAGGGAGAAACTGAGGAAAGAAAAGCGAAACGGAAAAGAACTGGACTAATGGCTCACGATGGGGTTGCGGTTCAGCAAGTGGTGGTGACAGCTTCTGAGAAA